AACAAATAAACCCCTTTTCTCTCTTCGCCTTGGACAGTTCCAAGCTGTTGTTTTGCCAAGCTGTTATTTCTTCTCTAGCTGTTTGAGAAAAAGCTCCAAGATGAAGAAGTGATAGACAGGGAGTGTTGTTCAGCCACTAAACCAGAAAAGCACGCTAGTGTGTTTCTATCTGTTCTTCCAGGAGGAACGTGTCTTAGTTATGAATGGATGACCGGTGAATGGAGGCATAACCGTAGACTGGTGTGGTGCCAGCGCTCTGATGGTGTCAATGTCACAGGTGTGCACTATTGCATTAAGAATGCATTAATTCTCAAAATAGTATCATTAAAAATAAACTTCATATCTTATTTCATAGCTTTTTTTGGGCATGGAAAGGACTTGCGAAAACATAACGTCAGATTTTAATTTTAGCCAAATGTAATCAGTGTTTCTCTACATTAGGAGGCTGCATTGCTCAGAACCAGCCCTCTGCCATACGACAGTGTCACCCTCCCTGCACCAAACCCTTCTCCTTCTGCACACAGGTGACAACCAGAACACTGTCAACACACAATCTCATTCATTATTGGGTGAATCTCACAAAGAATGTCCAGGTCCAATTTCATCCCAAAACTATAAAAGGACCTTTTTTTATTGCATTGTGACAAATTTAATTTTTTATGAAAATTAAGCGCATTTTCCTCTCCTTCCTCCCAGTAAATAGTTATTGTTACTTAAAACTAAAGTGATTAAAAATCATTGTCATAATTGAAATCAAGCTGAAATAAATGTATTATATGAAATTTATAAATGTATGAAATTCATAAATGTTGCCTTTGCAACTGACTGAAATATGTTGAAATAAGTACTAAAATTACTAGAACTAAAACTGAAATAAAATTAATTAAAAACTATAGAAATATCTGCAAAAACACTAATAAAAATGACAAAAGCACATAACAAAATTAAAATAAAAATGGAACATAAAAATATAGGCCAATTCAAATTATTAGTAAATACTATAACAGCATAATATAAATAATACTAAAATAACACTGCCTTCCATACTCTAATGTGTATGGATATTTTGATTCTCATCTGGTTAGATGCATTGCTATAATGCATAGATGTAATACTAACCATTTAACATTTTTTCTTACATGAATGAGAATATTTCTTCATTACAGTAACAACTGGGATGGTTGTGATATGTATAATAATAATGGTTGCTGTTGTTGTTACTGTTGTTATTTCTAAGTATGAAATAGGGAAAGTGAAATATGATAGTGACATGTTCTTGAGAGTCACCCTTTTGATAATAAACCATGGCTGTTAAACTATGGTTTTGGATAATGGTAACATCACCCAGTGCCTTAATTACAATAATGTAACATTTACCAACAGTGAATCCTATTTTAATATGAAAATGAGTAATGACAGATGCTGAGAGTTTATAAAGTGTGGTATCATTTGGCAGTCTATTATGGTGAGATGTAAATACCTTCATTATCGTATATCACAACTTCATCTCACCCTCTAATGCCATGCAATTAACAACTGTATGTCTCCATATGTGGAACGTAGCAAATCTCAGTATCCAGCTGTCACCATGCTGCCCTATCACTCTGATGATGGCTCTCATAAACTCTCTCCATCTTTCGGTCAGAATGGAGTCTGTGGTTGTGAGAAGGGCTTCACGGAGGTCATGACCTCTCACGGGTTCCTTGACTACTGTACCAGAATCCCAGGGCTGGACCATAAGAAGGCAGATGTAAAAACCACCGCAGGCCGTCTTAGACCAGAGCACGCCCGGAACAGGAACCACATTAAGGACTGGGCACTGCAGCCTCTTGGACCAGGTACTACCAACACCCATATGCTTTCCTACAGAGTACTGCAATGTTTTTTTTAGGCCACCTTGAAATTAGCATCACCCATCACTCTTTCTGTTAGCTTTTGGACTGTTGTAGAGAATAAACTCTGTGACCAACAAAAGTCTATGATTATGCATTAGCATGCTGTAGCACACCCTGGTTCCCAATAGGATTTTGAAGTAAAAAACTAAACGAAAGATAAACAAACTACACCATGGTTGCATGATTTCAACCTCACCGCCATTAATCTTCAGCATCTCTTTCAGTCTCTTTCAATAAACGCTTCAACAAGTCTTTATTTAAAGTTCACCTATTATGCCCCTTTTTACACTATGTAATATAAGTCTCAAGGTGTCCCCAGAATGTGTCTGTAAAGTTTCAGCTCAAAATACCCCACACATAGTTTATTATATCATGTGAGTACTGAACTGAGTTATCTTTAATGTCTTATTGCGCTTAAACTGTCCAGTACATACAAGTTTATGTTAAAAACACACATGAGTTACAGTCGGTTATGTTTGTGAAGGTAAACAGCTGGGAAAGAAATTGCATGTTTATATTAGATCTGTGTGGCAGCAGCGTAATATACAGTAAATAAATCAATAAATCACTGCTTTCTTGTCTCCTCTGAGGCTGGGACTCTAAATAGTTTCTGTGCTCATCGGTGCAGCCAAAGACAGAACAGTTAGCATGCTGTGCTCGAACTTTCGCCATGGCGTTAGAACTGGTGCACTATTGTCGCTTGCAAAAACAAAATGATTGCGCCGTGGGTGGAAACTTACAGATTAAGGTTTGTAATATTATAATAAGATCCCCTTTCTACGTCACAGGGGGAGCGAAATCTGACACACTCGTTTTTTTTCACACACTTGCAGAAAAAGGCTTACCAAAAAAATTTACTGTGTTGTTCTTTTTCACGTTTTCTGGGTTGATAGATGCACCTGGGACCCATTGATAGCACTTAAACTCAGAAAAAGACAGATTTTCATGATATGTAACCTTTAAAAAACCTTTTCCCTTAAAGTTTGACTTGGAATAGTTTTCAAAAATGTGATTAGAAACACAATGAGGCTGTAAAAGCAGACTAGCGAGTCGATGAGTTAACGCAGTGGTTCCCAACCCTGGTCCTGGAGGCACCCAACACTGCACATTTTGCATGTCTCCTTTCTCTGACACACCAATTTCAGGTCTTGGAGTCTCTACTAATGAGCTGATGACCTGAATCAGGTGTGTTTGATTAAGGAGTCATGCAAAACATGTAGTGTTGGGGTGCCTCCAGGACCAGGGTTGGGAACCACTGAGGCCCTGTCCACACAGCTTTTTCTACGCGGTTTGGCCGTTCGTCCACACGCAAACGCAGTGCCAGGTCATTGAAACCGAACATTTTTGAAAACGCCTGCCAGGGTGAAGATTTTCAAAAACTCGGTTTGCAGTGTTATCATTTAGACAGCGAAACTGGAGTTTTTGGCTTGTGACGTCGGAGCCTGCGCTGTTATCTCCACCTACTGGAAACTTTTTCAGGCTTCTGATTGGCCAACATGGCTTTACGGTTGAGATTATATTGCCACCTGTTGGTTTGGCATGCTCTTGACAGTGCTTCATAGCATGCATTTGCGTTTTCATGTGGACAGAGATTTTTTTTAAACGGAAGGAAAAACTATATAAAATACTATATAAAAATAATATAAAAATACCCGTGTACGTGTGGACATGGGAGTTAACCTATTTAATGTCCCGACAACCTCTGTTGTTTTCCCAATTGTTATCAACCACCTTTTTCAAGATAAGTTAAAGCTTCTAAAAAATCACAGTGAGGTATTACTGATGTATTTTATGTTGTGGAATAAGATGTGAAAATATCTTGAGCTTCTTTCAGACATTTAACCAAAAACACGTTCAAAAAAACCATTGACGTCAGGACGATGCTAAAATGCTAACTCGTTTCTGTGTTTTAGCCTTCAAAAATATGTCATCTTTGCAGCGCTCTATTATTCTGTTGTTTGATTGACAACTAGTGGTCAAGAGTCAGTTTTCTCAACCAGAATCAAGTCAGAATGATTTACAAAAGCTGTACTTTGTGAGCATTACTGTTTATTTTGATTGACAGATGGTCGTGTCAAGTTGTGGGTATATGGGCTGATGGCTGCCGGGTTTGTCGTGATCCTCCTCCTCATCATTATGTCCTTCCTCCTGTGGTGAGACTGATTTTTACATGGCTGTACTAGTTTAATGTTCTTCATATGACTCTGTATCATTCTCTTTCTTCTCACATAATAAAACAATCAGGGTCCTAATCACCCTCCCCTCAGTTTATTTTGCCATAATAACTGCCTGACTGAACATTATCTCTAAAATAAACAACTGGCATATGTTTTAAGGCAAAAAAAAAATCTCCCTAATTAGTAAGTCTCATATAGGAAACATGGCTACGTATGTTCTGCACTCTAGTGGTGATAGTTTAAACTGCAGCAAATTATGACGCAAGGTTGTTGTGAGTTTACACATATGCTTGTATGTTTTGCGTTTCAGTAAAAACCCGAAGGACAGTCCCAGCAGCAGTCCACAGAAGGCACTGGCTCTGGCGTATGATGGGGATGTGGATATGTGAGCCCACCATGAGCATGCAATGCTGAAATACGCTCAAAACACACGTCTGGCATCCTTCAGACCACAACATAAATGTTTACAGCAGCATACGAGCTGAGCACGACAATGAGCCAAACCAGAGACAGTGCTGAATGGATGTTTAAAAAGCACACAAACTAAACTTAAGGCTGTCTGGAGAACTTGAGAGAGTTGAGGAACTGCACAGAGGAAAATGTCATACAGCCAAAACAGAATGTGGCATCATGTCTACAGTACCATAGCGTGTGTGCGTGTGTGTGTGTGTGTGTGTATGTTCATTTATGAGGGTGCCCATTATGAGTAAATAGTTCTGTTTGTGTTAAAGGAATTGTTCACTCATAAAGGGTTTTTACATTTAGTCATTTTTTTCGTCCCCTTCTTTCATTCCAAATCTGTATGACTTTCTATCTTCTGTGAAACACAAAAAAGAGAATTTCTTTTTAATAGAGCCAGCCAGTTGTATAAACTACTTTTATGATGATGAGTCCTTTTTGAAATCCACATTCAGTGTAAATGCATGAAAAAGAGCTACCAGAACATCCCTAAAAACATTGAATTAAAAATCTTTTATGTTCGGCAGAAGGAAGTAAGTCATATAATTTTGAAATTAAATAAGACAATGATAACAAAAAAAAATTCTTATTTATTTCATTTCTTATTTTTGGGTGAACTATGCCTTTAATTATCCCTAAAAAGGGATGGTTTTGATGCACTACATTAGTGCCATCTTAAGTGCCATATTTATTCATTTATTTATGTTTTAAATCCTACATAGCCTTTCAGATAACCTCCCTATTAGGTGTTGAACAATTCTTTTGAAATCACCCTGATCAGCTGCATTTAAACGCTTTGTTATCCTTGTGACATGTTCTTTTGTAATGTGTATGCTGTAAATATTTTCTATTAGTATCTTTGAGTGGTTTATAAATAAATCTGGATCTCAGAGAGGAATCTTATATTTAGATAAGCGTTGTTTCATGTGGTAGGACTTTTCGCATGCCGTGTTTCAGTCTCTGGTTGTGCTGTTTGTGATTTCTCTCCGTCTTTGTGGTTCTGGAATGGTGCTGCTGTCATTTCTGATCAGTATCAATACACTGAGCCAAATTCTGTGGGCCAAGCCCAGATTGTCATATTCCTTTCACGAATTGTAATTAGAGTGTGCATTAGTTTCAACAGATGAGATCAAATGAGTAAAACGCAGGTGCTACACAGCTGCATTCAGGCGCATGGGCCAGTAGATGGCAGTAAGATACAATTATAGAAACCCTAACTGTCAGGTTTTTGCTTGATTCTCATATGCTGATACAATGCTCCATAAGCATACAACAATAACAAGGAATATCAAGGACATCCTAAGAGGTCATCTGAGTTTTAAGCATTAGTGGCCATGTAATTCACAATTAACTGGACTATATTTAATACAAATATTCAACATTTATCATGTATAATATTAACAGAACTGCGTGTGTGTGTGCGCGTGTAAACATGTGTTTATTTTTTGGCATTTTAAGGTATATTGTTTCAATATATTAATTATAATAATATAATTTAAAGGGTTAGTTCACCCAAAAATGAAAATTCTGTCATTAAT